AAAGAAAGATGAAGAATCAAAAGAGCTTGAAGAATTAACAGACCTTGCCTTGGACATAGTTGATAAATTGGAGTTGTCAGATAAAGAGCAGCTCAACCAAATTGTATGAATCAGCTATATCCAAAAGTGAATTATTTGCTAAATATATGGGGTTTTTCAGTGAAAAAGATTGATTTTTGAAAATAAGATCTGCATTTCAAGGAATTTACTCAAAAGTTTACTATACAAAGTGGGTATGTTCTAAGTGAAGAGTATTACTTTTTCACATATGGTCCTTTTCTATTGAAGATCCCATGTGAGGAATGAAGAAGAAGATGAAGAGAATGAAAAAATAAGAAAAATTGTAATTAATGAACATATGATTCGAAGATAATATTTCTTGGATAATTAGAAGCTTAAAGAGTCCAAACTATTGGATTTCAAATAAATTTTAATAATGATTGATTGTGTTGTATATATTCATTAATAATGTACTGAGGTTTTGTTTATAGGGAAATATCATTTATTCTTGGATTTTATTCATTCATTATGCAAAAATGGAAAATTATTTTCTTAATTTATAAGATCACGTTACCATAGATGATTGTTTATAATAAAACAAACCATTTATTAATAAATAATAACCAAAAACCAAAAAACAAATTTAATAATAAATCTTATAAAACCAAAATTTATTCCTTTTCTAAAAGAATTGTTGTTGTTATTATTTAGCAAGTAACTATCCTAATAAAAATTGTTTTGTGATTATGTTGTGAAATGCAAGATTGACTGAGAGTAGTGTTAGGTGAAGTAATATTAGACAAGAAAAAGAAATGTACATGATGAGGTGTGAAAAGTGTGAATAAAGAATATTTCTTAAATCATCATCATCACCCTGATTTGAACAAAAGTATAGCGATTGGTCCAATATAGAAATAAATAAAATTTTTAGTTTCTAATCAATAATTATCAAAGAATTCAAATGAAAAAATAAATATATTTATTAGTATGTTAGTTTTATGAAATATTCATTAATTCATCTATTAAATTCTCAATAATAATTAATTAATAGATTGCATCCTAAAGTCTTATTATTAAGTGAATGAATAGATGGACATACCATGAGTTACATAACTTCCAAAATTTTTTCCTACAATACAATGCCATGTTGTTCCATATCGTTTATCAAATTCTCGCTTGATATAAGCGGCGATATCTTTCTCAATATTATACTTTTCCAATGCTTGATTTGCACACTCAA